AAAAGAGAGGCTGTATTGGTCAGCATTTTGTCACTGTGATTGAAATACCCCACAGGCACCTCTTAAAGGAAGAAAGGTTTATTTTGGCTTATGGCTTCAGAGGTTTCAGCCCATGGTTAGCTAGTTCAAGGCAGAAAGAAACATCATGGTAGAAAGGCACGCTGGCAGAAAACTTCATCTCTTGGCATCCAGGAAGCACAGAGAAAGGTAAGAGCATGAGACAGAGAGAGAGAGAAAGAGAGAGAGAGAGAGCAAGTGAGTCAGCTGGGGACAGGATATACCCTTCCAAGGCATGCCTCAAGTGAACCACCTTCTCTGATGAGGCTCCTCTCCTAATAGCTCATTCAGCAATGAACTCATCAATGAGCTAATCTTTGATGAGGTTAGCACCCTCATGATCACATTGCTTTTCCAGAAGTCACACCTCTGAACATAGGAGACTTTTGGGGAATATCTGAGAGGAAACCATGACATTCTACACATGATGTCAAAGGCTCATGTCCATGTCATATGCAAAATGCATTTAATTTATTGCCAGGAGGTCCCAGAATCTCAAAAGTTCCAGAATTGCTCAAAATTTCAAGTGTTTTTTTCTGAAACTCAAGGCAAACTCTCAGTTGTGAGCTCTGTAAAAGCAAAAAGGAAGTTACAGGTTTCCAAGATACAATGTCACGGGTAAACATTCCCATTCCAAAAGGGAGGAATAAGAGATTAAAAAGGAATCAGATCAAAATTAGACTGAAACCAAGCATGGAAAAGATGAGCTCTATGTGTGATATCTAGGGAGCTCTATGTGTGGTATCTAGGGCAAATGATAATGAGACATGAGCTCCAATGGGCTTGGGTGGCCCGATGCCTATGGCCTTGCTGGTTGCTGCCCACACATCTTTTTCCTGGGCTGAATCTGCTCACCACCTGCAGCATTCTTTGGCAACTTCCCCAACCTCTTGTGGTCTCCATTTCAGCTTTGGGTTCATTCCTATAGCTTTATGCATTGCCCTCTGAGGAGCTCTTGGCAGGCACTCTAACTCTATCACACACCGCCTGGTCTCCTAGGCCTTCCTGTGACTGGGTAAAACCTCCTAGGAGCCCAGAACGCTTGCATTTTGCATTCCTGCACAAACAGCACTACATGGATGATGTCAAAGTCTGCTGCTGACATGAACAGTAGCTGTTGCCCCTTGGACAGTGGTCCCTGACTGGAGGATTGAACGTTGGAAAAACTTCCTTAGATGGTCCTAAGTGAGTAGAATATACTGAAGCTTTCTTCACAAAGCAATATCTTTCAAACAATTTATACTTACACATCCTTGATCCCAAGATAGGTGGAGCCTGCCCAATTCCTGAGAGGCCATCAAGACATCCTTCCTAGTATCCTGGTGCAAAGTATTTGGCTTATTTTTATGGTACATAAAGGTATAGTATTTTATGGTATATCTTTAGCAACCACAGCTTCATTGGCTTCAACTTTACATGTGCTTCTTTTGTGGCCAAACTAAAAGTTTTTCAAATATTTCTATTCTAAAAGTAACCAACAATATCCATGCGATAGCCCAAATGTTTCATTGCCTTGAAATTTCCTCTGCCAGATTACTTTGTCACCTTTAAGTTCAGCCTCACCAAAGTCATAGGACATAAAAAATATGTAGATAAGTTATTTCCCAGAAAGCAGTGCACACAGCTTTCAGTCTCATTTTCAAGAGAGTCCTCATATTCCCATCTGAACCCTCATAGGTACAGCCTTCACTGTCCACATTCTCATCAGCATTTTGGTCTTTTGAACCCCCACCAGAATCAAGCATCAAGTTATGAGGCTCCCCTAGCCTGCATCTCCAAACCTTTCCAAACTTCTGCAAACAAGTTCCAAAGGCTTCTGAGTGATATCATCAGGCACAGTCACAGCAGGGGCTCTGCCCCTGCATTGATTTTTCTGTACTGGTCATCTTCTCATAGCTGTTCCAAAATACCTGCCAAACACAATTTAAAAAGGAAAGGTTGATTTTGGCTCATGGGTTCAAAGGTTTCACTCCATGGCCACCTGGCTCCAAGGCAGGAACATCACAGTAGAAGTGCCTGGTGGAGGGGAGCTGCTTATCCCTTGGTGGCCAGGAAGCAGAGAGCAGGGAAATAGTATGAGAGAGGATGGAGGCCAGGATATGGCCTTCAAAGTCATGCTCTTACCTTCTCCAGCTAGTCTTCACCTCCCAATAGCTCATTCAGCTAGGGACTCATCCAGGGGCTAATCCGTTAGTGCTCTCATGATTGGATTGTTTTTCACAAGTCCCACCTCTGAACACCTGAGGCTTTTGGGAGACATTTGAACTCAAACTATAACAGAGGCTCTGTGGTGTTCTTCCTCTTCAGAGCAGTGGAACCATTTTGTGAGCACCCCAATCCCCTGTGTACATTGCCTTCATGCATCCTTCACTGTGTTCTCCTTGAATCTTTGTGACCTGAGTTAATTTTTTCCCGATGGACCTTTTGGACGCCAGCTTTCCAGTCTGTGCTTTCATAATATTTTGAAGCAGTTTTCCACACCTGCCACTTCAACCAGATCACTCCACTGTCTACTGATGGCCTTCAGAGCCAATGTACATTTGTAGAGCCAGTGTATCTTAGCATTTAGACTTTGGCACATGGCTTTCTTCATTTCAGTCCATCTGGCTGAATCCCTCTGTTTTCTACCAAGATAAAGCCGTCCTTTCAGTATTGTGTGTGCATGTGCTTATGTGCAGTGCTGGGGTTTGGACCCAGGGCATCATGCATTCTAGGTGCTCTACTACTGAGCTGCACCCCAAGTCCATCTCAGCATTTTTTTGATAGGAGAAAGATGATATGTATATGCATGGATACAAAGTGAAGCAGTAGGTGTAAGTGATTAGGAAAGTCATGAATATTATGAAAGCACAGAGGGGACTATTTTGAAATAAACTCTGTAACAATAAAAATTCCAAACTACATAATGAGAATATTACTGTCTAACAAACTGACCAATTAAATAATTATTCTGTTTCTAAGCCCTCCCTACATACACAAGTTAAGGATCAAATCTCCAGTAAATTTTTCCAAGTGATTTGCTCCTTCTCTGACACACTATCTCATTTACTGATACATTATTTTGCCTCCAGCAATGTTTGTAACATGAAAGTTCTGCAAACGAATGTAGCGTTTTGATGTAGAGCAGAAGGCAGCATCACTTTATAAATACCTTCCCTCCTTATTAGAAACTAAACTAGACCCTCATCTTGCACCCCTTGAACAAAAAAGGATACTTTGCTATGTATTGGGTGGGTTAGGGTGGATAGCATCGAATACAGTTCTACACGAGTGCGTATGTGATGATCACATTCTAACTTTGATATCGATAGAGAGAGCTAAAATTAATACTTAGCTTCTTAACAGCTGGCCATCCCAGGTCTGGATGTGCGTGCATTTGTGTGTCTGTCTTACCTTCCTTGGTTAACTGAGAACAGAAAAGATGGGTCACACTGTCCTGCCTTAGCGATGCTACTTTTAATCCACATCCTTTCTTTTAATCGTGGAACTCTTGACCTCTCTTCTCCCAGCAGATGTTTTAACCTCCGTTTTAAATACAAACGACATTGTAATTACATAGATTGTCACTGGTAGAATGAAGAAAGGAATGCTTGCTTTATGGGAGTTTAAGGCAGAAATAATTTGAGGCCACCAGATGTAGCAACTGCTGACTCACCTACGTCGGGAACCCTGGATTTAATTTTTTTTTCTTTACAGCAGCAAAAGCAAAACTTATCTGCAGAAGTCAACTGTGTCTCAAAAATAGAAACGTGTCCTCCTAAATATTTTCCCACCCCCATGGCTACCAAACGAGGAGTTCCTAAGACAGTTACTACACACTCGGTTCCTAATCTCTGTATTTCTTGCCATCTGGAACCTCTAAGTCCTCCCTGAATTCGCCCAGTCAGACTTGGAGAACTTTGGAGTAAAGACCTTGAAGCTCCCTCTGCTTTGCTGAGTCCTCAGCACAGGCAGGGGATTCCTGCCGCTGGACGCCCGCACCCCCCTGTTCGCAACGCCCAGAAGTGATTCCCAGCTGGGATCCCGTGCCTGCAGGCGAGCTGAATGAGAAGCAGCACTATTTTTACCTCCCCGGCTGCAAACCTTCATCTTTTCTTGCAAGAAGGAAATAAATAAGGATATAGAAGGAGATGTGTGGCCTTAGTTTTGCTCGAGCGGGAAGGGCTTAGGAAAGGAGGGGGCATCTGAGGTCTAGGATGCAGGAAAAGACAGGTCTATTTCCTTTATCCTTCGCTCTACACCATGCCCGTCTCTGGAAGCCCAGCATTCTGCTTTTTGCCCCTCGTCCCTGGCCGCCAGCTCCCCTGCCCAGCCCCCTCGCTGGCGGTGCCACCTTCACCTCCGACGCTGCCCGGGTTGCTGCATCACTCTGCTGCTACCCACCTGGCCCCTACGGAGGGGCATGCGCAGTGCGTCCTGCGCGTGGCGAGCTCGGCAGCAGCACCCCGCTCGGCGCGCTCCCGGGGCGGGGCGCACACCCGAGCTGCGCGCCCC